TCCCGTAGCTTGCCCACGATGGCGTCTGAGTTCCAGGGAGAGGCTGCAGAGGGTCAAGGCTACCCGAAGTCCTCCTTTGCCTCCTCCGTCACATTTCTGGGGTCGAAGTTCTTTTCTGTTCTCGCCCCGCGTCTGCTGCGTTCTCAGCCTGCCCTCTTGCTTCCACAGGGTCCCAAAGGCAACAGAGGCGACTCGGTCGATGTAAGTTACCCGTGTCCAGAGGGTGCCCCTGCCTTGCCAGCCTTTCACCTGCCCCTCTTACATGATGTCTCGTTTCTTTTTAAAGCAATGCGCCCTGGTTCAAAGTATCAAAGACAAGTGTCGTAAGTAGCCCAGCCTGTGGCCCGTGCGCGTCCCCGTTCATATTGATAGATGTGCAGTCCTCACACGGTGGACACGCCTCATCCTCTCTTCTCTCTGTTCCTTTTGTAGCTTGTTGTTACGGTAAGCTCATCTCAGTGGTTTGGCTTCCTCCAGAAGAGGTAAGACCCCGTTCCAGTGAGTAAAGTGTGTCTTTGAATTCCCCACCCCACTTCCCACAGGGCCCCTGGAGTGCCCCGTCTTCCCGACGGAGTTAGCCTTTGCTTTAGACACCTCGGACGGGGTGACCCAGGACGTGTTCAGCCGGATGAGAGATGTGGTCCTCAAGATCGTGGGGGACCTGACCATCGCTGAGAGCAACTGCCCGCGGGGCGCCCGAGTGGCCGTGGTCACCTATAACAATGAGGTGACCACGGAGATCCGCTTTGCGGACTCCAGGAAGAAGCCTGCCCTCTTAGACAGGATTAAGAACCTCCCGTACTCGCTGACGTCCAAGCAGCAGAGTCTGGAAACTGCCATGTCATTCGTGGCCAGGAACACATTTAAGCGAGTGAGGAATGGGTTCCTGATGAGGAAAGTGGCCATTTTCTTCAGCAACAGACCCACGAGGTCTCTGCCGCAGCTCCGAGAGGCCGTGCTCAAGCTCTCAGACGCGGGGATCACGCCCTTGTTCCTGACGAGCCAGGAGGACCGTCAGCTCATCAATGCCTTGCAGGTCTGGGTTCTGCGTCGCATTGGGCCTGCCTCTTCTTGGGTCCAAGAAGGTTCTCAGCACACCCATGCCCTGGGCCGCCTTGTGCCCCTTAGCTCCAGATAGCCCGAATGAACCTGATGTGGCCAAGAGCGTCTCTCGTGAGGTCTCCAGGGCTGCCTTTTGCCTCCAGGGCAGTTGGGCACCTCATCTGTCCCCTCACGCGCTGACGGCTCTCGTCAGTTTGGGAGCAAGGAGATCCTACAGTTCATTAGAAGCTCCAGTGGGAAAGAGACCTGGTTCTGCAGATGTGAAGCCCATGTGCTGGCAGCACCCCACCCCACTCTGCCACAACCATGATCTCCCAGGGCTGGCCTCGGGGCTGCTGTCACTTAGAGAGGTCCCTGGAACATGGGTGACCCCTGACGCTCCAGTCTGCAGCATTGTGCAGGCCTGTCTCAGCAGGCTCCGGCTCCCAGGGTCAGCCTCCGGGGAGACCCGCTGCCCGTCCTCGGCATGTGGTGACAGGTGACGTCCCAGGTTACCTGTTACAGCCAGTCAGCATTGGCCAGTCAGCCAGCTCTGGCGGTTGTGCGCTAGACACAGGGATGAGGGCGTGAAGGCAGGAGCCAGGCAGGAGTCCGCAAGTGCCGGCTCTCGTCGCCGTCTGCCCCGGTCTCAGCCTGCGGCCATGCCGCTTCGCCTCTCCAGTTGTATCTCCCACTGTGAGACAAGGCTAGGGAGTGACCATCTCTACTCTCTTGCCTCCTGAACTGGGCACTCCATGGTTTTACCTGTGACTATGCCAACAAGAGACAGTTATGTCATTGCTGCCACCACG